CCTTGCGCAAACGGGAAGCCCGATATAGCGACGGCGAAACTCATGAAAGCTACCCGAGTGACGCGTTAATCGATGACTCTTTCATGACACCTGGACGAAATGCTTACAGCATCGATTTTCGTAGAATATAAAATCTAATATAAATGTGTGCATGAATATTTTCTCTCAATTAAAACTCTATATCTCTATTAATATCTCAATAAAAATCAATAATGATAAGGACTTGATATTTTAGCACTTTCACAGAGTATATTAGTTTATATATAAATCGTTGTTAATTACATTGACGTGGAATAAATTGTAATCAATCATTAATATGTACACAAATATAGACAAAATCTATGATAATATTACTACAAAATATATTATAGATGCTAATAGGTGAAAATGTTTGAAGCGCAATAACGATCGTATAATTTTAATGGCTCACAGATGGGAACGGATCTTGAAACGCGTGCAAAATTAAATCCATAAAATTTGCACGAATTTTCAACGAGCGCAATGACTGGATATTTTTCATAGATATGAAAATATCTATTTTTTGTACAAACTTTTGCATCTTATTATTAATATAATTTGTTGAAATATGAAGAATATATTTTATGTATAGTTCAATATATAACAAAGAAAACAATAATTGCATCTCTATCAATATATTTTAAAACTTAAAATAATTTAGATATTGAACACTCACATCTCGTGCAGACAGACTACATATTAGAATTAAGAAGGTATTTGCTTTGTTTTGTTCGTTTTAAAAACAAGTGACAAATATATAAATAAGAAAAATATAGGTTACTCTTATTGAATTACTTATTCGATTTTTTTTATGCGGGTCTTTAAAACACTATTGCCAAATCGTATGTACGTGTGTCGTAACCTTTGCCAGTTTTTTAATTTGAAACGATAAACTCTTCGAGTACTTAAACGTAAGTGCGTGTCATGCTCGCAGCTTTCTCCTGACAATAGCCCGATGTGTTTATAATAATATACTTGTAAAACAAATTATTTATAATCATATATAATATATATTA